TGATGATTATGATTTCCCGTTGCTTCGTCTCGCTTTGTATATGGTCTCCTTGATTAGATGTCTTAATATGGCCACAAGTTTAATTTCAATATATTCTGCTTGATGGTGGATTTTACTTGGGACTTGTTAGCTGAATGAACCTGCATCACAATGACTTCCAACTGATAAAAAGTCTCACATATTGGTTTGCTTTGTTAGCTATCAAGTGAAACATTGACCATTGGATTCTGACCCAGTGACTCAATGGTAACGTGCTGGCCACGGAACCTGAAGGCCACGGGTTCGATCCCTGGCAGGGTCGTGGGTGTGCACTGTTAGTGAGTCCCATACTAGGACGAAACAGCTGTCCAGTGCTCCCAGGTTTTTTATGCTCCTCCAACTGATGTTAGTCTACGATGAATAACAGCTTGGAATAATGACTTACCATTCATTATCTTCGATAAATTATTTGCATTATTATTCTGAAGTAAATAGCTACAAACAAAAAAAACAAGAATCTACGTAAAACTGTTTCTACGTGGATTAACTTATGACCAGCAGAACTGTAGGGGGGCAGCTTGTAATTGTAATTATTCTTTTGTTGACTAATTGGAAAAGAAATAAAACAATTTTTCACAACTTAATATTTTGGTAACCATAACATCCAACACTAGTAACTTATATAGTAATTTAGTTAAGTTTTCTTGTACTATCATACAGAGGTTTGAAACAAATATCGAATCAGAAGTAGTATTCATCACGGACTGACATCAGTTGGAGAACCATTGAAAATCTGGGAGCACTGGACTGGGACTCCACACCAGTACGCACCCACTACCCCACCAGGGGTCGAACTCAGGACTTTCAGGTTCCACGGCGAATGCGTTAATCACTCAGCCTCTGGGACGGAATTCTATGGTTCAAAGTTTCCAGCTTCTATCAATTCATGATATAGCGTTTTTAGTTGGCATCCGCTTCCCTTCCGACTGTTTGACCCCACAGGTCATGGCTTCTCATTAGAACTTCGTGATATCCATGTCACACCATGTCACCAATGGGTACTCTATACAGTAATGTATTTCTGAGATGAATAAGGATTTTAATTTGGAAGTAGATTGGATCACTTTATTGAAAATACTCCTTATCATCAACTGAGTTTTAACCGAGAAACACTAAAACCCAGAGAGCAGTTACCATTTGTTTCGGCTTAAGCTAGGATACTAGTAGAATCGTATATTATGCGCTACATAAGGAAATGAATCCGGGATATTTGAAAAATAGGATAATTATATTAGTATTTATTTCATTGTGTCACTTCAGTTCTCGGCATGGTCATTATCTAATTCCATCGGTGTATGTGAGTACTCACTTTCTTCTTGGTTAACCTCACTTATATCGAGTTTTCTCAAGACTATATGGTGTTATTCAGTTTTTAGTTTTGTACGGATCAACTGAATTCAGGTTAGTATTCTTCACAAAGTGATGTATGTTGGAGAACTAGTCAGGACAGCTGTTTCGTCCTAGTATGAAACTCGTCAGCAGTATGCACCAATGATTCCAACAGAGGATGAACCCTGGGGCTTCAAGCTTCTTGGTAAGCACGTTGTCATTAAGCTATTGGGTCACAGTCCAGTGGTTCACATTCCCCTACTTCGAAATTGGTGTCTCAAAGTTCTAATGAGAAACCGTAACCTGTAGAATCAACTAAATCGGAGGTGAGGACAGATATTCGCCAATACCTTTGGATAATACCAGCGCTATCACAAATTGACAGAATAATAAAGTGCTACGAACTCGCAGGAAATTGTTCCCTTTCCATTTTTTATCACATTATGCATAATTGTTTTCAACGAAAGTTTAAAAAATGCCCTGAGCAACAATAATAAGAGTAGTGAAGAATGTCATTTCATAAGTAAGTGAAACCTTCGACTACTTACAAAAATTGTCAACTTTAAACGTTCGATAGTTATGTTTATTGGTACATACAATTTGCTGTTGCTATCCTGCCTCAAAGGTGATGAAGATGACCAACCACCACAAACGGGAGAAACTTAAACGAAGATGTTTCTTTCACCTACCCACCTACCAAGGAAGCATCGATTCAATTACAGGCGGCAAGCATGACGACTTCAAAGCCAGGATGGGTAAGACACCAAGACAGGCCTTCATTAATCTGAAATCATTATAGAGATCCACTCAACATAAAGTGTGAACAACATCTGGATTCTAAACAATAATTCTGTCAACTAAGTCAGTGCTTCCATGTGATAGTTGAGAGAATTGGCGCCTTACGAAAAGCATTTCCAACAATCTACAAACATACATCATATCACATGAACACCTGCCACCTACACTCACTCATTACTGAAGATCAGATCAGATCAGATCAGATCAGATCAGATGGATGGGTGGATGGGTGGATGGCCAGAATAATGAGAATAAACAAGGAGGAAGTCACTCCGACCGACAACCAACAGAACAACAAAACATCCAACGAAGCAACAACCTATCACCCAACAAATATGCAGAAGAAGAAGAAGAAGAAGAAGAAGAAAGTGGAGATGGTTTGGATTGGACTGTATTGGATTGGACAGAGAGTGAGAAGACCATTTGGGGACATCATGCATCAGGCCAAAGCTGACGAGTGGAAGTGGAATGGGAGAGGACGAGTTGGGTGTCGGAGGTGAGGGTGACATGTAGGAGATTGTGTGAGGAAGAAATGAGAGGTTGTGGGGATTGATGGATTGAGGTTGAGGAGACTGAAGAGATGTTGAAATGGTGACTTGTTACTGTTAACCCAAAGGACAAATAATACTGATAGTAATATGTATAAGTAGGATTGAAAGCGTAGATATTTAGTAGTAGTTGAGTCGAATATTGTTGTATTGCCCTGATCGGTAATTGTTGACTGTATCATGTGACCAGCTATTGTTTGAGAGCCATGAAATGCTAAAAGTAAACTTATAATTTTTGGGAAGGAAAGCTTGTTTTCTACTACTACCTCAACATTTTCTAAATTAGTTATCCTTTAATTATATTAAAACAAAAACATTCTTGTTTCCCGGTTGTTAAGTTATTGATGATAGTGTCTTTTGGACTGCTGTGGACTACTTGAAAGGATGGTAACATGCTGATGTCATCTGAAAGATGAAAGTACTTATAGATGCTGGTTATTTAACAAGTTCCGGAAACTATCTCTTATCCTATTTTTCATTAGCTTATCAAGAGACTATTCTATTATTCTAAAAGATTTGAAACTCAGAATTCAATTCCTTAGGTTACTTCCAATCTGAAGAGATTGTTCTAAGGTAGTTTTGATGATGAGTACTATAATCAAGTCATACAGTGAGCAGTCAAACGTACTACGATGCTGATTGGTTAGTTTTACTAAAGAGTCTTAGGAGAGGGAACATTCAGCAGAACAGTTTCTGTATTTTAGGGTGGTGAGGAGGAAATAAAAGCTTATGGAAAGTCGTAGAGCCAGGTCGAAAAGACTGGAGAGAAGAGGGTAAAATGGCGACATGCCACTGAAGTTGTGTGTTCTACTAGGAACCCAAAAAAATGAAATAAAATAATATAAAATGTCATTACCAACACTTCGTGGATAAAAACTCTTCATATACTTTACCATGTCAAACTAAATTTTCCTATGTCAAAGATTTAATTTATACCGGAACCTATTAACTGGATACTAAAACACTAGCGATTATCAACACTACGGTTCAGGGTTTTGAATAAATGACTTTCAATTAATGGCTTACACGTTTAGATTCTAACCACCACTCAACCCACCCTAACAATTCTTCACATTCTTTGTAGTTACCAGTCATTGTGAAATAAATACAGCTCTAAGCCTAGTAAAGGTATTTACCAAACTGTATGCATTCGAAAATTTAAATGGAATATACTCAGCTGCTTTAATTGCCTCATCTATACTAAGTGAAGGAAGGGATTTATTGTTTTGTCAATATTATCACAGATTTCTTAAGAACAACCAGATGGGATTCAATGAGTCCCGTTCTCTGCAGGGTCTCAGGTGCTGGTGAAAAGGGAATTTTTCCTAGTATATGTTAATTTCATTTATTTATTTCAGTTCCCCTTTGAATTAGACATCATACCAGTTGGTATTTCCCAATGGGAACCTTTAATTATCCACTGTTGAACGTAGCCTATTTGGTGTCTAGTAGTGGAATATAGGACGAGTGCTTCGTCTTATCTGGGACTCGTCGACTGGATGTACCTTAATGAGTGATGTAGCTCATACTGAAAACTCGAACTCAGTACTCATCGCTTCAAAAATTTATATAATCAATATACGAGCAGTTTCGAGACATCTCTACTGGAGCCCATCTACCAAAAGAGGTTGAGAGATTTGACGCAGAATTATTATTATTTTATTATTTGTCCTTTGGGTTAATAGTGGAAGATAGGGATGCAGTAACACGTCACCATTTCAACATCTTCTCTTCAGTCTCCTCAACCTCAATCCACCACTCACCACAACCTCTCATTTCTTCCTCACACAATCTCCTACATGTCACCCTCACCTCCGACACCCAACTCGTCCTCTCACATTCCACTTCCACTCGTCAGCTTTGGCCTGATGCATGATGTCCCCAAATGGTCTTCTCACTCTCTGTCCAATCCAATACAGTCCAATCCAAACCATCTCCACTTTCTTCTTCTTCTTCTTCTTCTTCTTCTGCATATTTGTTGGGTGATAGGTTGTTGCTTCGTTGGATGTTTTGTTGTTCTGTTGGTTGTCGGTCGGAGTGACTTCCTCCTTGTTTATTCTCATTATTCTGGCCATCCACCCATCCACCCATCCATCTGATCTGATCTGATCTGATCTGATCTGATCTGATCTGATCTTCAGTAATGAGTGAGTGTAGGTGGCAGGTGTTCATGTGATATGATGTATGTTTGTAGATTGTTGGAAATGCTTTTCGTAAGGCGCCAATTCTCTCAACTATCACATGGAAGCACTGACTTAGTTGACAGAATTATTGTTTAGAATCCAGATGTTGTTCACACTTTATGTTGAGTGTAGTGGATGCAGTAGATCTACTACTACTACTACTACTACTACTACTACTACTACTACTACTACTACTACTACTACTACTACTACTACTACTACTACTACTACTACTACTACTACTACTACTACTACTACTACTACTACTACTACTACTACTACTACTACTACTACTACTACTACTACTACTACTACTACTACTACTACTACTACTACTACTACTACTACTACTACTACTACTACTACTACTACTACTACTACTACTACTACTACTACTACTACTACTACTACTACTACTACTACTACTACTACTACTACTACTACTACTACTACTACTACTACTACTACTACTACTACTACTACTACTACTACTACTACTACTACTACTACTACTACTACTACTACTACTACTACTACTACTACTACTACTACTACTACTACTACTACTACTACTACTACTACTACTACTACTACTACTACTACTACTACTACTACTACTACTACTACTACTACTACTACTACTACTACTACTACTACTACTACTACTACTACTACTACTACTACTACTACTACTACTACTACTACTACTACTACTACTACTACTACTACTACTACTACTACTACTACTACTACTACTACTACTACTACTACTACTACTACTACTACTACTACTACTACTACTACTACTACTACTACTACTACTACTACTACTACTACTACTACTACTACTACTACTACTACTACTACTACTACTACTACTACTACTACTACTACTACTAATGTTACTACGGTTTGGGATTTTCTGATATCAAGTATTATTGAATAGTGGTATAATGTATGCTTTGCGTATGCTTTTGGGAATTGTTGCTATTTTTGGATAGTAAACTTCAAAGTTTGTGTATTACTTTTATCTGTTGTGGAAATATTTATTGTTCATAATGCATGCATTCTATTCAGTGGCAGTACTATCGCCTGACTTCAAAGGTTGTAATGGTCACTTTTTCATAATTAAATTAACCAAGTCGATTGTTTTAGTTGTTGCTATGCTGGTCTTTTGAGCCACTTACATTAGCTTAAAACAAGATCAATATGTTTCACAAATATACCTCTTAAGTAGATTACCAATCTCTTAACAAAAGTGGCTAATGCTGACATATCACGTTTTAGCCTTGATTATATATACTTGATGAATATAACTAACTCCAACACTATAAACAAGATAAATCTACCATTTCTTAAATATAATGTTGTGTTCGATCTATGGCTTTTCAGTGCTCCCAGTTTCCAATGTTTATCCAATTGATATCAGTCCATGATGAATACCAACTTGTAATTTATGCATGCGCTTGAATTCAGTCACGATCATTTCAAGAACTTTTTGTTTCTATTCATGAATAAAAAAAGAGAGAAACACTTGTGATAGTGACGAAAAGTTGAAAACATTAAAACAAATGATTTCCAATGCACAACTTACTGCCTTAAGAAACTCACTGTACATGAGTAATCTACGTGAACACCATATGAGTTAACACAACTGAGTAGCTCAGTCAGCATAGCACCAGGCTGTTTCATTGACAATCATTGCCCCCTTAGCCTGATGAAAACAACCTACTTTCAGATAGAGTGAACAGTATTTCTCAGTATTCTTATCCACTTCACGCCAAATTATAAATTTTGTTGAGTAGTTCGCCTCGATCAACCCAAGTTATAGATGGAGCATGTTGCCTGAATTCGATTTAATCAAGACCCTAGTAAATCTCGTTTCTGTCGGACCAGATAGAAATTGGAATAATTTATGTATTATCCTGTTCACGCAAGCTTTCCACAGATAGACTGTCTTATTGATCTATCTTGCGATCGACTGACATATAGATCCAAGAAAGACAGGCGGTGATCGTTTTCTTCTACATATCGTACATTCGATTCAGGACTGAAGCAATACAATATGGTTCATCCCTTATGATTAAAATATTACCTAAATATCTTTTATAAAATGCAGCCTTGTTACTGAAGTCCTCAGATAACTTACTGATATACTACACACAAATATCTACTAAAAGGGGACCCATGGGGCCCTCGCAGCAAAACTGTCAATCTGATGAAAATATTCACCATCAACTGTATACTTTACATTGTTAGTACATGAAAGCAATAAATGTTCTAAGTAAGGGAGTTAACATCAAAGGAATATATAGTTTTATGCATAGGTAGTTCTCCCAGGTTCCATAGAAACGGGGTTTTGCGAGGTCCTGATATAGTTAATTTCAAGCACTATGCTTGACTGATTATTTGGGTGAAGAGATAAGATTACTGACCTAGAAGCTGTTCGAGGCCAGCTACTCAATAAAGCTTATAAGTCGGTTTGAGGTGGATAGAACATCAAGAAATACTGTCCACTGGTGATGTGAATAGCTTGGTAGTCAGATAGAGACTTAACACTGTCATCATTAAAGCATATTATTCAGTTAAGGTTTGTATAACTGAAAATCCTAAGCCTGTATGACCATGGAAGCCATTGGGACAGGTGGATGATGAAGTCACTACCGGTAAAAAAGTACATATGATGGCAAATACATGTTGAGGACTTACTGATCATAGAAAATAAAGACCAGAGAACATGTTCCCAGGCGGTTTCAAAAAAGAATACAGTCAAGTGACCTAGAAAATGTTGAAGACAAACATCTGGACTCAATATCAGAAGAGGAGACTATATTCTCATTCAATCATTCAGAGGAGGTGATTGCATTTAACAGATTACAATACCGTAACATCCAAAGTGCATGAACAACGTATGATAAGTGACAGCAGTATCATTCTGTGAAGTTATCAAATATCTGCAATCGATGGTATTATATTTTGAAGTTGAAACAATCTACTCCGAGCGAATGCTCAATAATTTTGTTTAACAATAGTGACTGATCTGATCTAACATCAGCTGACAAGAGATCATTATTTTTGGTCAAAAATAATCTGTTGACCCTCGAAAACTTGTGAATATATCTAGTTTATTCTTGGACAGAAACGAATATCTGTCTCTTAACTCCTTTAACTTCTTCGTAGCTGAAAAAATTGGCCTAGGAACAATGAATATTAAGGATTGTATTGTAATGATAATAAATATAACAAGTGAAAATGATTGAAAAATATATGTTCTAATAAAATTCATAGCAATCACCATCATGGTATTAATTCAACTGATCAGTGACAACATTGTGTCTGTTGACTATATTTCAATTGTCAATTACCTACATTAATCAGTAAGTAGTCCTATGGACAATTCCCTGATATGCTTGACGGTTGTTGCTAGCTTTCAACTCAAAGTGTAGAAACGAAGATAATTCAATCATGTATTTTTTGTTGATGAGTCTCATAGCGAAAGAAACTCACATCTTAGTTTCTAGCACTAGCAAGTGCCAAATGAGTCAGACAATGTTTCTTACTAACTTTATTGACTGAATATCATTCAGAACTGTTATGTGAACTGACTGATTCCGAACGACCCATCAATTTTCCGATGTGTTGATTAAGTTACGAGACTCAAGAAGTCCTGCAATTAGATTTTGTGTATCTACAAACTTGATGGAATTAATGTTACCTAAGAGATTCACGGGCACTGGAGTCAGAGAAGTTATCACTGATCTTTTCAACGAGGTATCTCAATTGCATTTTATCAGTTCCCTCTCGATTGCAGATATATCTCGCTGATGAGTGCCAACACATAAGAAATCTAAGTTCAGGGCTCCTTATCGTTCGTCTGTAACCGTTTACGAGAGAAACATTTCAAATGAATTTAGTTCAATTTCATTTGTAGTCGGATTTTTATGAATTTATGAATGATCAGTTTGACTATATATAGTAATGATGGATAGTGGCTAGCATTGGAATCCAGGATATTGTTCCCACCGGGATTCCAACTCAGGACCGATTACTCCAAACGCCAGAGCGTTATACACTACACCACCGAACCACGACGGGTATAGTTTTAGTATAATTGCTTGACTATCTGAGATAGTTGTAGTTTGGCAGACCTCTATTGATACTAGGGTTTAACCCGACTCCGAAGTCAATTCACGATTGTGCTCACATTGGCTGCCAACAGTCAAGACTTCTCTTCCAAATCCGAATCTACTTGGATTTGATTGCGGAGCATCCTGTTGAGCATCAGTTTAGGCGATCTGAGACAGTCGTGGTTTAACAGACTTGTATTTACTTGGATTAGGATTAGAGGTGATGACTGTGTCCAGCCAGTGTGATGCAATGTTAATGCATGACAAATTCACACAACAGTCAAGTAAAACTCTTGGTGATTGAAGTGAAATAAAAACTGATCAGCAGTGGGGTCACTTAATTCAGTTGGTTGGTAACCCAACCGGAAAACCAGCGGTCTTTGGTTCGAATCCTGTCGTGTCCCAGATTTTCAATTCACCTTCATTCATCATCAAGTATCAATACTTCTTTTCATCTACATAATTAATTGCTTTCAAGCCATTTTAAGAGGTGTAAAAAGATATTGATTTTCTGATCGATTTTATTTAATTTTATTGGAAAAAAAATTCTCGTAAACATGACAGTTTAAATCAACTTAGTTGAAAACATATTGTAGCAAAACATTTTGAAGTTGATTGTACATTTTCATGATTGACATCCGGTAAACTGACCATTTCCATACGTACATATATAATTCCTCTCCTCTGTTCTCGTTTCTTCCCCCCTCCTCCCTCCTTCTGGGTTCTTCCTTCCAATAACCTTTTCGCCCCCCTCCCACACACACCATCACCACCACCTCATAAATACATGCACAAATGTGAATTCATAATCATTTGTTCAACTCTCCATCTTTTGTGAACAGGATTCTATTTGAAATCAGATACACCTGGTTTGAATTATAAACTATACACCAAATGAAAAGTTTTCTTCTTCCATCTATCTGATTATAACATGTATGCATTCTGAACATACTAACTACAATTCAAGTTCAATATATGCGCTAATCAGAAATCAAGTGAAAAATGAACATTTTTTCTATAAAGCAGGTGAAGAAATAATAAAATTTTTGTTAATCAGACTAAAAATCTACATATCTAGCACCATCTTTTGTGTTGAAGAATTGTAGTGTACCACTGAAGTGTGTGTGTGTGTGTGTGAGATAGAGGAGTGTAAATATGACTTAGTTATTTGCTTCATGATGGCTAGTAGTAGAACCCAGGATGCACGTTTCGTCCCATTTGGGACCCATCAGCTGGATATACCTGCACCTCATTTTGGCGTTTGAAGCCTTCGGTTCTGGGTTTGAGTCCCAGTAGGGACAGCATTCACTAATAGGACGAAACGCGCGTCTTGGATTCCACTACTACCCACCACCAATCAAATCATAACATACGAACTAGTCAGGCAATATCGAGGGATTTGCATAGGACCACATCTGCTAACAGAGGTGGATCAGTTAAATCCAGTATGACAATAGAAGGCATTATAACTGCTTGATTTCAAAAAGTATGCTGTTTGAGTAATGTCCATTCTCTCTGGAGGTTTGTGGAGATTTATTAATTGATTTTAGGTTGGGATTCATCATGGAGTGACATCATTTAGAGGAACATTAGAAACCTGGGGCACTAGACAGCTGTTTCGTCCTAGTAAAAGACTCCTTGGCAGTGCGCACCCACGACCTTCAGGTTCCGTGGCCAGCACGTTACCATTCGAGCCACTGGGTCGGAATGCAACGGTCTAACTTCTGTCAGTTCACGATATATCATGACCTCTATCCAATGTCGTCGTTGAGTAACTGTACTCATGTTCGACTTGTGCATTCAGTAGATATGCGTGATT